CCGGCGTGTTTTAGGCCACCAGGTCCGGGACGCGAACCGCAGTCAACTACGTGGGAGTCCAATGACATAGCCATTACACTAACTGCTGGTCCCAAGAAATTAATTTAATTATCTCATTTCTCTATTTAATTTTAGATAAATTATCCTGTACATGTGTATATATGTGTGTGTATGTGTAAATATATATATATACATATATATATATGAAAATTAGTGTCTTAATTAAAGATTTCAAAAAAGAATTATAGTGAGAGATGCCTTTATAAATAGAAAATTCTGCATGATAAATTTTTTTGGGGGGGGAGAGGTTTTTGCTATAGGGCACATGTGCCTGCCAGAAAGACAGAGAGAGACAGACAGAAAGCAAGAAATCACCTCCCAGGGGGGACGGCCACACCACAATCCCTTCTCCTCCATTCTCCTCTCAGGATCTTGGGCACGAACACACACGTGCCCGGAGTGAGTTTAAGCCACCGGGTCCAGGACTCAAACTGCGGTCGACGACATGGGAACCCAGCGCCATAGCCATCATGCTAACTGCTGATCGCCTGCATGATAAATTTTGATCCAATGAGCCCAAAATGCTGGGTGCTATGGCTATCAAAACATAATTATACTTGGGTCAGCAGGTGGTGTGGTAGGCACTGGACACTCCCACATGGCCAACCACGGTTCAAGTCCTAGATATTGTGACTTACTTTCTCACTTTCCTTCTCTCTGTGTGTCTGTTTTTTTCTGGTTAAATGAAAATAAATGAGTGCATAAGTAAAATTAAATAAATAATAATTTTTTTAAAAATAATAATTATATTTGTTGGGCAAGCCAGATGGTGTAGTGGTTAAGGTAGCTGAGTCCCACATGGATGACTGCACAGTTTGACTCCTGGACCTGGCAGCATGTAAAACACACCAGGCTCATGTGCAAGCATGTATCTCCCAAGAGGAGAATGGAGGAGAAGGGATTGTGATGGGGTCATCCCCTGTGTGGGGTGATTTCTCACTTTTTCTCTCGCAAGGGAGTGCACATGTCCTATAGCAAAAATTAAAAAAAAATTATTATTATTATATTTGTGTAACCACCATCTAATTCAAAAAAGTAAATAAAAAATTTAATACACTTTTAAAAGGTTTGCACCAAAACTCTTAATAGTTCTAAGTTCTAACCTCTCACTGTGTGACTTTGACCTTATACTTTAAGATATACATTTCCTTTGATGTAATGTTTCTATTCTTTATAAATTAGCACGGATATAATCCAATAAAAGAAAAAATATAAAAACAAATATCTCCAGGGCTATATAATTTCTAGTCACAGAAATAAGTCAAAATGACTAAGTACACTGGAACGATTAGAAACCATAAGTCTAGGTAGTAAAAAGACAGAAAACTGACGGAGCTACGTTAAAGAATATGCCTTCTGAGAGTTTGCTGCATAAAAATAACATCGAATATTCATTTTGGAATTGATATCCTTTCTTCCTCCTGTTGCCTTTCTAGTATGAGGTAAAAATCCTGGATATCTAAATTAGTTGTTTTTCTGACAAAACTTTACTATTGCTTATAAGTAAATTATTGGTGTCCTCCTTATTTCAAAGTCAGAAAAACAGAGATATATCTAGAATTTTTTAAATTTTATTTATTGTTACTATTATTACTATTGCTGTTTAATTTGAACACAGAGAGACAGAGAGAGAGAGAGAGAGAGAGAAAAAAACAAAGAGAAAAAGAAAGAAAGACACCACGTCCAGGACTTGAACCATGGTCGGCCATGTGGGTGTCCAGCACCCCAACCATCACACCACCTGCCAGCCCGAGATATCTAGAACGTAAAGGGCTAGTCTGAGGTTATTTCAAACATGACTAAAGAGATAAGCATTCTCCCAACAAAGTCCCTGTTTCCATACAGGAGCTGTCAAGCAAGATGACACCAACCTGATTTGGGTTTTCCAGAGTGGTCACGCAAATGAATAGTTAGAAAAGAACTGACCCGAGACCTAAACTCAGATCCTGAACCATTACACTACATTCTTAAATTTCAACTCTAGACTTCAAACTAAACCAAAAGTATTTCCTCAAATTATTCTTGATTTTTCTACCCTTTAGACTGCAAATTTATAATCTACAGTCACTCTGTGTGCTTTTCTGTATTGACTTGGATAACTTACCTTTTCGCTGCAGTCTGTAGTCATTCTGGGCTTGGGTTTCAGGACATATCTCTAACATGGAATAAATACTGTCAATCATCGCCATCTAATATTTCTCACATTCAGTCGAGAGAGATCAATTACTCAAGTGTGAGGAGTCGTGTTGGAGAGGAAACAGCCCAATCTCTCAAGTAAGCAGGAAACTTGACAAAAGCAGAAGTAAGGTTTCAGGAAATGATTCAAATCTGGGGCTACGTATAGAAATTAATCGTCTACATTGTCCATTTTTACAGCCCTACCGCACTCTTTAGATGACCATAAAATATGTACAAAGTTGATTCCCCCGTTCATTTCATTCTCTTCGGTCAGGAAAAGTTGCTCTCAAGGCCAGCAATTTCAATGATGGAAATTAAAATAAAAATGAGAGTAGTTCCTAACTATGAATTATCTCCAATCTTTCCTCTGCTTTGTTTCCTTCTGAGAAAATAGATGCCTACCCAATGGGGTTAATTGCAACCTTTCTGGACCTTTCCAGCAGTGATTAGTGACGGGGAAATGGGCAGGTGGCTGCCTCCACCTGGAATCATGAGCTAAATGGACTACTGCCCAGTTACGACCTACGAACATGGCAGAGCCCCATCTTCCCCAGAACACCCTCTCTACAAACATGGCAGAGCCCCATCTTCCTCAAAACACCCTCTCTACGAACATGGCAGAGCCCCATCTTCCTCAAAACACCTTCTCTATGAACATGGCAGAGCCCCATCTTCCCCAAAACACCCTCTCTACGAACATGGCAGAGCCCCATCTTCCCCAAAACACCCTCTCTACGAACATGGCAGAGCCCCATCTTCCCCAAAACACCCTCTCTACGAACCATGCAGAGCCCCCTCTTCCCCAAAACATCCTCTCTACGAACATGGCAGAGCCCCATCTTCCCCAAAACTAAGGAGTTCAACTACATAGGAGTTCAGCAACATAGCCATTATGCTAACTGCTGGTCCCCATTGGTATCTTATTTTTATGTTTAAAGACAACTATAAAGGGGACAAATACAATAAATTCCTACTAAACTATCAGTTCTTCATCTCTAGTATGTGAAAGGTTAGTAAAAAGTTAGAGTAAGCCTAGCCAGTGGCAGTGGTGTCATGGTCACGTTGCACTCTGCAAGGCTGAGACCCTGTGAGAGGGTCCTGGCTTGGCATCCCAGGGCCTCCCTGTGCACACCGGGCGCGTGCATGCAACCGTGACCCAGACCAGCTGAGGCTAGGGGCAGGATTGCAGCAAGTGGGCTTTGTTCAGGATGCCCCTCTCTCTCTCACTCGCTATCTCTGAAGAAATAAATAAATGAACTTAGGGAATTGGAACTCTTAAGAATAGCTAAGTTCACCCAGAGAGAGTATATAAAAATAGAAGAGAAACAGGGGTGCATATAAATACAAACTAATATAGTTCTGCTTCCAGCTATGACAAAGTGGAATTGAAAATTACAAATGCCAAAATACATGAGGAAACTATTGGGTCGTTGGAAAAGCCATGACAGATTTTTGCATAGAAAAACAACATCGTGACTTTCCCAATGATTCCACGTTTTCAGGCATACACTGTGATCCTTGAGAGAACAGAAACACACAAAGTGTGTAGAAAGTCTGGCTTTCAAGGGGCCGGCAGGTGGCATGGCAGTTAAGGGCACTGAACTCCCACATGGCTGACTGTGGTTCAAGCAGTTCGAGTCCAGGACAGGGCAGCTTGCTTTATTACTTTCCTTCTCTCACTCTCTCACTGTCTCTTACACTATCCCTCTCTGGTCAAAATAAAATAAATAAATAAATAAATATAAATAAAATAATTCTTTAAAAAAAAAAAGAAAGAAAAGAAAAAATGCCTGGCTTTCGAACAATGGCCATTTTCTGGAACCGTCCAGCATACTGAAACTTGAACAAAACAACAGGCTCCCAGAGGCAGACTGCAGTTTTGATCTACTTAGGATGCTGGAAATTGCAGAGCAGGGTACCTGACGAGAGAGCTGCTCAGAGAGAGGCGCCCAGAGCTGCGGGATTCACCGCAGGTGTGTGCCCAACGGCTAGGGTGCACGGGCAAAGCCCTGCGAGTCCGAGCTGAGACCGCACCCTGCAAGGCCGAGAGCTGAACAAGAGAACCCAGAGAGGACAAAACAAAGCCTCGCAGCTCCAAAAGGACCCACTAGTAATTTAGCTGCCTGGAAGGACAAATTACAATGCCATTAAAGCATAGATGGGGCTGGCAGGTGGCATGGTGGTTAAGGACACTGGACTCCCACATGGCCAAGCGCAGTTCAAGTCCCAGGTATGGTGGCTTGCTTTCTCTCTCTCTCTCTCTGTCCCTCTTTGAGCAAAATTTAAATAAATAAACAGATAGATAGATAAGAAAGGCAACAGAGAGATCAGGCAGCAGGGCAGCAGTAATGCCACTGAATCCTATGGGAAAGGTCGTGGGTTCATGTCCCAGAACTTCCTGACCATGCTTCAGGTACCATATTAAAATACCACGGAATGGGCAACTTAAACCATGGACATCTGTCTTCTCACAGTTCTGTAAACTGGAAGTCCAAGAAGAAGGTGCCAGCAGGTGGGCGTCTGGGAGGCTTCCTTCCTTTGATTGCAGACTTGTCACTATGCTCCTGAGTGGCCTTTGTTTCAGTGCGTACATGAAGGGAGAGAAAAAGAGTGAATTTTCCGGTGCATCTTCTCGTGAGAACGTTAGTCCTGTCAGGTTAGGGCCACACTTTCGATGTCATTTAACCTTAATAAGTTCATTTTTTTTTCTAAGAATTATTTATTTAGGGGCTAGCAGGTGGCATAATGGTTACATCACTGAACTCCCATATGTTCAACTGCAGTTCGAGTCCCAGACCTGGAGGCTTGAAACTCATGTCGGGCACGTACGTGTGTGTGTGTGTCTGTGTGCCCAAAATCCTGTGAGGAGAGGGGAGATCCCACATGGCCAACTGCACAGTTTGAGTCCCGGACCTGGAGGCTTAAAAAACGCATGTGCATCCCCAAAATTCTGAGTGGAGGAGAAGGGAGTGTGGCACGGTCATGCCCCTTAAGGGTGATTTCTCTCTTTCTCTCTCTCTGGTTAGTGCACATGCCCTATAGCAAACTAATAAAAGAAAGGTTAAGATAAAGAAGGAGGAAATGACTATAAGATAGGACCCAGGGATACCTACATAAATGGCTAATTCTAGGGGCGGGGTAGGGAAAATACAGATTAACGGGGTCACCTTTAGTCTTTTGGTGTTAGAAAACAAGAAACTGTCAAAAAAAAAAAAAAGCAAAAAACAGATCGAGACCTATCAGAACATAGGAACCAACATGAATAAGTTAGTAACTGGGAGGGAAATAACAAATCTCTCGTACAGAAAATCCCAGATAATGTACGTCAATACTCTTCTTTCAGGAGGTGGAATTCTATTCTCTCTGAGTGTGGTCAGGACTTAGAGACTTTGGGCAGTACGTTGAGCTCCATAGAGACAGCACTGGGGCAAGTGAGAGCCGGATGGGCACAGGGCGACTCTGTGCCTCGCAGAGGAAAGATAACTAAACGTGGACAAAGGGGAGCCTGAGGAGCCGAGAGGCAAAATGTCATCACATGCCATCTTTGTGCAAACTTGCCGGGAGAAGCACAAGAAGCTCCCAGATGCTTCAGTCAACTTCTCAGAGTTTTCTTTTTTTTTTTTTTTTGTAGAGGTTTTCACTATAGGGCGCATGCGCTCGCCAGACAGACAGAGCGAGACATAAAGACAGAAAGCAAGAGATCACCTCCCAGGGAGGATGGCCACACCGCAATTCCTTTTCCTCCATTCTCCTCTCGGGATCTTGGGCACGCACGCACACGCGCCCAGCATGAGTTTTAAGCCACCGGATCCGGGACACGAACCGCGGTGGACTACGTGGGAGTCCAGCGACATAGCCATTATGCTAGCTGCTGGTTCCCTTCTCCGAGTTTTCTAAGAAGCGCTCAGAGAGGTGGAAGACTAAAGAGAAAGGAAAATTTAAAGATATGGCAAAGGCGGACAAGGCCCATTATAAAAGAGAAATGAAAACCTATATCCCTCCTAAAGGGAAAACAGAAAAGAAGTTCAGGGATCCCAATGCACCCAAGAGGCCTCCTTCGGCCGCCTTCTTGTTCTGTTCTGAATATTGCCCAAAAATCAAAGGAGAACATCCTGGCCTCTCCATTGGTGATGTTGCAAAGATACTGGGAGAGCTGTGGAATAACACTGCTGCAGATGATAAACAGCCTTAGGAAAAGAAGGCTGCCAAGCTGAAGGAAAAGTACAAAAAGGATATTGCAGCATACCGAGCTAAAGGAAAGCCTGATGCAGCAAAAAAGGGAGTTGTCAAGGCTGAAAGGAGAAAGAAAAAGGAGGAGGAGGAAGATGAGGAAGATGAAGAGGATGAAGATGAAGAAGATGACGATGATGAATAAGTTGGTTCTAGAGCAGTTTTTTTCCGTGTCTATAAAGCATTTAACACCCTCATACACAACTCACTACTTTTAAAGAAAAAAATTGAAATGTACGAAAAGAAAAAAAGACTAGGAGACTTCCTAACAAAGAAGGAAGTGTGAGGGGAACAGTGACTGTGCGATGGGAAACCTGGCAGACACCGCACAGAGTTAACTACGTGAACCACCGACGATGAATATGTTGATGTCCTGCACCTGCAACATGAGGGAAAGAAAAGGGTACTGAGCCACTGAAGTATTTCCCCCAAATCAAAAAAGAAACGTTTTCTAGAGAGAGTGTGTGCTCACCAGAGAGAGAGACAAAGAGATAGAGAGAGAGGGAGAGAGGATGAAAGCACCCATCAATGGGACCTGGTCACCACAATCTCTTCTCCATCTCTCCACCCCGTCATGACTTGGAGCACGCAAGCACACTGTGGTGTTTTCGGAGCCACCAGGGCCAGAACTTGAGCTGTGTGGAATATGGCTGCCTTCACTACCAGACCAAGGGCCAGTCCTCCCCCAAATTTTTAATGCAGGCAGAACATGAGGAAAATGATCAGATAGCTCTAAATTGAAGGACAGAGTGACATTCTACTAAATACATCACAACATTCTTCAAACACATCAAGATCATGAAAAACAAGAAAACACTGAAAAATGTCATAGACCACA